TGAAAAAATATTTTAAAAATTAATTCAAAATATGACCATATTTTCTCCATATCCGAAAAGTACATGAGTTTAAAAAAATAATATCGAGAAGGTCTTAAAATTTTAATTTTGTATTTTGGTATGGAATGACATCTTTCATAATCAACCAAAAACTCGTGCCTTTTTTGCCGTTTTTTTTTTTAAATTTAAAAAATGGTGAAAATCGTCAATTGATTTTGCGGTGAATGTACTTTGATTTAGTTCTCTGCTCTGTTTGTTTTTTTCTTTTTGTTCTTTTTAAATCAGTTTCTTTTGTTTTTTTTATAATATTCTAATATATATAAAAATAATTTTGGCTCTTCAAAAATTAGTGGTGAGGTTACCTTTCTCACCCTTAACTTTGACCTGTGATCCAATTTAAAACAAGGAGAGAGATTTAAGAGAACACCATAGTCATAGTTTTTTAAAAATCTGTTACATGTTTTTTTGATACATTCTGGTCTGTTTCAGATATGAAGACTTAATTGTCAGTCAATTTGGAGGATCTAAACCTATGTTATGTGTGGTTTTATATTGGCATTTTTTTATTTTTTTATCAACTGGAAAATGAAAGACCAAATAAGTTTAAGGCAGTTCTGAACTCAAAATGTCATGTTACTCATGAATGGGTTAAAAATTCTGTTCGAAACCTTCAAAACATCGAAAATTAGGAGGTACAGTAATGTGGGGTCTATGAAATATAGTGGAGCAATCTTAAAATTGTTTATCAATGACAGATTATATCTACTCCTAACTCCAAATGTCAAGTTACACATGATTTGCTTTAGAATTATGTACAAAACAATCAAAATACCAAAAAATAGGAAGTAACGCTATGTGGGGGCCTTGCCGAAACGTGGACCGACATGTCCCATTTTTAATACCAAACATATTAAGGATAATATAAATGTCTGAGCAAAGCGATAGAATGCTTCCCTGAATTAATCTCCGTTTTTGGGGATCTCATCCCACTGTGCGTAGGCTCTGTGGCTCGTAGTGCCGTTGAAACCGAATGTTCTCAATATACTTCTCTTCAATTTTTGTGGGCAAAAATTCTTTCAACATGGCCCGTTAACGTAGCGGCCAATACTTTCTCATTTTCGAAGGAAAAAGGCCTCTGAACCAAAATCCGCCCCAAGCGGTTCGTTTTGGGTGACATGATTTTCAAAGAGATGTTGCAATATTTCCCAACGCTGTTCAAGTGTATGTACAACCATATAGCGGGAGGGTAAAACCAATTATCTTTCAATTCAGACATGAGCTAAATTTTACAGTTCACGAAAAAACGTTAGACTGCCGAACCTATGTAGTACAAAAGAAAAATAAATAAATAAAAATATGTCACCTAAGCAAAATTTGTTATGTTTCTAAGTCTAGTCATCCGATTTAAGTACAGAACTTACAATTAAAAAAAGATATTAATGACCATTTTACAACAACAAAATTAATGAAATTAAAAAAATATTAGTTCATTATTTGTCGATTTGAAAAATAAAAATATTTCAAAAATTGAGAGAATTTGTGCAAAGATATAATAACTTACATAAAAAGTGATAAAATTATGCTGCAAATCATAATATTTATTGTTAAAAATAGTCGTACCATCATTTGGCTTCAACATTTATAACATGTCAGAGTAATGATCGCAAACCATCTTTATATAGGAAAGTTTACTGTTCATGTTATGTCAGATCGGTCAGATATTAATCCCCAGATGCAAATTTCATCGGACTATGAAATTTTAAAGTAGAAATAATTGACATATCATCGTTTTATTCGCTTAACTTTGTCCAAGCCCAGTGTTTTTCAAAGATAATCCTGGTAATTGAAGTAGAATATATCACCTTTACATAACGATAACACAAGAAGAACATCGAAGAACCGGCCATTCAATTTGCAACGCCTCGCAATAGGATAAACGTAATATTTTATATCCCTTAAGTCGTGTTCCTCCGTATGTCACACAATAAATGATACCAGCAAGAGCCCGCTAACTTTGTCAGCAAAAAGTCCGCATTAAAATTTTAGATTCGTTCCAACAGTTCGTGTTTGGCCCTTTTTAGAACTCAAAATGCACAATTTTTTTCAGTTTGACAAAAAAAATTTTAGCAAAACTTCATACATTGTACTAAATTTTCGCATTTCCAAGGTTTTATATATTATCCAAATTTTCCTTCTTCGGAAAGAATAATAGGAAAATATTTACATTTTACACTAACAAGTCTTCAAAATCTTTCATGTTGAATTCTACCGAAGAGGACATTAGGAAGACCATTGCACTGTGGATCCATATCCAATTTTACTGTTGAAACTATTTTAACGTCTCCATATGTAAATTGAGGTTACTCAATATCAAATTTCAACTCTGTAATTTCTTCCATATCCATTACTTAGGTATAGTAATATTCATTACTTTTCGTACAATAAAGGTACACATTTCCGAAACCACCTCCATATGTCCAGGTTACACATGAACAGCGACCCTAATACCAAATTTTCGATTTTAAATACTATCTGTTCACCCAATACTAAATTATAACATATCTAGTACTATTTAGTACTTTTCGTACAATTATAATACACATTTCCAAACCCCCCTCTCTATCACAAACCTACTACAAACAGGGACACCAATATAAAATTTCAAAATTTCTGCCGCAATCCGTTCACCTGACTGTTTCAAATGTGTCACCAAACCGTTTCAAATGTGTACTAAACATTTCCAAAACCACCTTCCTATATCAAATTTACTTTCCAACCATGATTTTCATACCACATATCAAGTTTTTAGATCTATCCGTTTACATAATACCAAATGGTACTATTTTAGAAGTTTAGTACCATTTTAGAACTTTTCGTAACCTTAAAGTTTGAAAATTCAAAACCCCTTAGGTACATCTATCCTGACCCTCATTTAAAATTTTGACAAAATATTCAATTTTTAATAAACATACATTCTAGATTAGTCATTCAGTTATTTCACTACTCTTTTATGTATTCAGATAGCTTTGAAATTTTGCACGGGCAGTGAAAACTGTATTGAAAATGGAATGTATCGTAAAAACGGTCCTGATTTTCGGTATCTTGAAAGTTTGGACTCCAATTTACAATCAAATAAGTTGTCATATCCAGTTATATATTGGCAGTTTAACTTCACACAAAAATATTACATTTTGTCCAATTTTTTCACATAACGTCTCTTCCTAACTTTTCGACATTTTGAAGGCTTAGGCCTCCATTTCCAACTAAATCAGCTTAATTTGATATTTCGCCCATTTGGCCATAATTCAAATGTCCACATTTAGGCGTTTCTGAAAAGATCGGCCCAAACAAGTTTCGTCAAATAAATTATATGAAATCAAATGGTCAGATCCGCCTAATTTTATTTACTGTTTATTATTAACTGTTATAATATCGTATCACAGCTCTGAAATGATTCTTCAATTTCAAAAAAGTAGCGGAACTCGCTTAATTTCAAGTGGGGGTACTCCTGCGAGTTAATAGAGTATATGCCACTCGAATGAGCGAGTGTGAGTAAAATTCCCTAGGGCTCTGCAATGCTTGCTCGAATTCAAGTTAAGAGTGACAGCGGCTCTATTCTGGGCGACATAACTCCTGCGAGTGAAAATATTGAGCCGAGAGAGAAAAGTTAGATTTGGCATAAAATTAAACAAATTCCCGCACTGCAAAGACTCATGTCAGATATGATTCTCAGGTGCCGTATTCTGTAACTTTTTAACACCTATACTCTTTGTTTATATAAAAAAAGTATTTGTTTTTTTTTTGTTTTTGTTACAATAATAAAAAAATAATTTTTAAAAACTTTTTAACCTTTTTTCAAAAATTACAAAATTGGCCTCAGAAATAGCAACAATATCTATGGCTTTCTATTAGAAAGACTTTGACTGAGCTTCACATTTCTACAGCATACATTTCGCCAACAACATTCGCTGGAATTTTTTCCGGTTCCCTTGGAATTTGGAAAGAATATTTTTCATTTTTGTAAGAACCCATTCTGCATACGTCCGTGTATATCACTGTACCCAGAACAGTATTTCCAGGCCATTTCGAGGGTGCCCAACTAGCAAACATTTTTATTTTTCTTGTAAAAAAAAAATGTACAAAAAAAATTTTTGTAAAGGCAATCAAATCGGAGGGCGTCCACTCTCAATGTGTCACGACCTACAAGACCCAGTGTTGCAGTTTAAATACATAGACAATCAATACACAATTTGTATGGTAGTGGAACGAGTTGTAAGATTGTAGGTTAAGATAAAAATAGCCTTGAATTCCTTTTTTATTTTTCACATAAAATAATTCAATAAAATAAAAAAACAAAACGGAAGATTCAAAGTAAACGAGAATTTCTTTGATATCTCTTAAAATCCTAAAATACTTCTTTGATAAATCTTACAACTGCTTTCACAAAAAATGTTATATTTTCCTCACTTTTATGCGTCATTGAGATCCTAAATAATATAATAATTGTTGTGTGTAATATCCAAAATTATTCTCGTTTACTTTGTATACCTAAATTAAGAAATATTTTTTCATTTAAAAAAATCCGTTTATTTATTTTTTTTTTTTTTTTTTGTATTATTTTCAAAAATTCAAATATATCATTCAAATCATTGATTATTTATGCAAACAAAACATGTCTATTAGTACACCAAAAAAGTAGCTTTGTTTTAGTTATTTAAAATGAAATTATTTTCATATATAAAAAAAAAAAAAAACAATAAATACTACCCGATCAAACATTGTATCTTTCACTGTCGTACTCAGCAATGCAAACAAACACCAATACACTTATACATACGTACCCATATTGACATTAGCGATTCTAACGAGAAAAGGTATGGCAACGTGATCACTGCAATATCATTAAAGTATGACGCACATATCTCGCCATAGGTGCAAGTGATCGATTAATTAATATGTATATAAATTATTTTTTTTTTTTTTATATAGAAACATATTGTTTTTTAAGTTTAGGTTTTTAATTAGACGAATAGTATTAAATTTGCCAAGCTTTTCTCATTACAAAAAAAAAATATATAGATATCATTCATGATTCCCATCAGACAGGTATATACATACACCTCATAGTTATCTTGTAAAAGTTCATTTTTTGTTATCTATTAAAAATACGAATTCTCAAAACTTATATTAATGTCGCATTTGCAATGAGAGCACCCAAATTTCAGATATTGGAGCGAATTTCCCCCAACCTATTTTTTGTGTATTTCATTAATTTTTTTATGTGTGACACACGGAAGCCGTGAAATTGGAAATAATTTAAAAAAGCCCCATCCACAACCGTCAAATCTCCAATTAAAGTGTTCAGTGAGTTTCTAATCCTAACGAATTCGTTAAATTTCTTTTGTGTCTCCGAATCAGAAAAAAAACTAAACCTCAATTTATTTCAAATTAAAATGCAAAGCTTACGCATGGATTTCTTGCAAGTTCTGTGGCTTTTAAAGAAATACCATTTTCTCGAGTTAAAGGTTCTAAATACCTAAACGGACTGCATGCGATAAACGCTTAACAGCCAAAGCGCCGTAGCCGAAAACAAGTGAGAGTGATAAATATTTGAGTAACCCATTGGAGAAAATTTTCGCCTATATTTACCAAACTAATAACCGGCAAAAAAGAGAGCAGAGTAGGAGGTCCAAACGGTTGGGAGCTCAAGCTCTTAGGCCATCATGGCTTCGGAGGCCTCACAGTGTAGTGGATTTTTCCAGGATCACGGAAACACGGCGGCCCTAAATCAATATTTTCAGCATTTAAATTCCCAGTCATCGGCAACAGTGGGCGGCGGTAATTGTGCCAGTGATAGTGGCAATGAAAGATCGTCGGCGGATAATACTCGCAGCAGTGTCAGCAGCAATGATTCATCAAAGTCATCAACTAATTTGGGTGGCTCTAGAAATAGTGGTGGAAGTACTGGTAGCAGTAGTGGTCAATGGCAAAATATGCCAACGCAACAGCAGCAGCAACAGCAACAACAGCATTTACAGCTACAGCAACAACATCATCAGCAACAACAACAGCATCATCAACAACAACAACAGCAACTTCATCATCAACAGCAGCAGCAACAACAACAGCATCACCATCAACAACAGCAACAGCATTTACATAACCAAAGCCTAGCGCAAAGCCACCAACAGCAACAGCAGCAGCAACAAATACAACACCACCAGCAACAACAACAACATCACCAGCAGCAGCAGCAGCATCAAAACCAACACCATTCCCACAGTCATCATCAACAACTCTCTGCAGCTCTCAGTCAAACCCTACAACAAAACTTAGCTGCCTCGAATCCCAATGCTAACGCCGCCGCTGCAGCCGCCGCCGCAGCAGCGGCTGCCGTTGCCACCAATCCACATTCAATATTCGGTAGTGGTAATTTCCATTACAAGACAAATAATTCCTGGTCCATACCCTCACTATCGTGCTATCAACGACTCTACAATGAAAATGCTCACTATCAGCGTAACTACAACGCCAACAATGGCGTCAATAATTCCGCCGGCAGTGGCGGTAGCAGCAATGGCAGCATTAACAACAACAATAGTTCCAGTAATAACTCCAGCGATACAACTCACGGCGTCACAGTGACACAGTGCAATAACAATGGTGGTGCTGGTTTAAATGGAGGAGGAGGTGGTGGTGGTGTTAGCGGCGGCGTTAACTCTTCTGCCATAAACAGTAGCTGCTCAGCGACATTTGCGGAAGCTTCGGCAGCCGCTGCAGCTGCGAATAATACAGTGCAGCAGGTGGCAAACGCCGTTGCGGCAGCAGTCATTGCCAGCGAACATCATCACATAAACAGTTTAAAGTCCCGTTTTCAGCCATCAAGCTCAGGTAGGCAACACAGTAAATATGGGAAGGAGTAGTATTTCTTAGAAATGTTATAAAGGAAATGTTCGTAGATAATAAGTACTATTATCGTATGATAATAAGTACTCCGAAGTATTCAAAAATTACTATTAAAGATAAAAATGTGATGAGCAATGGTGGCTCATGTGGCCTCCAAAATGTTTGCTGTGTAGATAGTCTCGATCCGCTAACTTTGTTTAGATTTTTTAAGCAAATATGGGTTTATCCTAGAAAAAATACCCCAGAAGCTTGAAAATATCTAGTAATGTAAGGGTTCACCTAGTCATAATATGCTTTTAACAAACTTGAGATCTACGCCTGAGAAGAAGGTTAGAGTTTCTTCTATCTGCCACCCACCGAACAGCATATGTCCTTCTACCTTCTAATTAATAAAAGGAAGCAAGTTCTTCAGATTGCCTGTCGGATGGCAATATATATACCTTGCGAGCGGTTTACAACTGCTACCTCTGAAAGCTTTTTTGACGAGAGCCTTTTTGAGGCGGCAGACATAATAGCTCATAGGTGGTTGGACTATATCATCGATTTGTAGATCAATCGACTGGGAATCACTTCATTCCCCACTATATTATAATGTCCTGGGATCCAACAAAGCTTAATAAATGCACGTCTTTAAAGAAGGGCTTTCTTGCCGTCAAGAATGACTCTCGAGTTAATGGCTCTCGATGCCTTTGGGGATAATCGACATGTATAGTAAAAGTATACTATTCTCTCATATCTTACAATTTCGGCTGCTTTCTTGATTGCAGGAATCGAGACTTACGGTGCCGACCAAGAAAGTACTGCTTATTTAGAGTGTCATATCCGCCATATGGCTAGAGAGGATATATATCATTTGATACGGCCAAAACGTACCTTATCGAAATAACGCTTTTAGATCCTAAGTCTCTTTGAATCAAGTCCGTTTCAGGGCATTTGGAGTCGATCTAGCAATGTCCGTCTGTCTGACTGGTGCGCACAATAAGGTCTGACGTGAATATGGAATATATCGGTCCACTCCTTCTGGTACCTTCCCCCGAAACAGGGTCAACATTTTCAATATCCATGAAGTTCATAAACCGTGAAATTAACATCCAATTCCATTCAGAGATGACACATTTCAATATTTCTATAAACACAAGATCTGTTATAAAGTTGGTTGAGGACAACTGCTTCTGATACCTCCCCCACAAAAGGTCAAAGTTTTAAATAACCAAAATGATTATAAAATTCGAAATAAGCATCGGGTTTTCTTCATATTTAACGCATCCCATTATTTCTACTAACATAAGATCTACTATGAAGATGGGATATATCAGACCACTCCTTCTGGTAAGTCCTCCACAAAAGGTCAAAATTTTGAATACACATTAAGCTCATAACACGCATAATTAATATCCGATTCCATTCAGGCCTGGTACATATCAATATTTCTATCAACAATATATCTGTTATAAAGATGGTAAAGATCGGACCATTTCCTCTGGGCACAAAACGCTCAAAGATAGCGAAAAAAGCATCCAATTCTTTTTAAATTTCACACCCACAAACATTTTTGCTGAGAACTTGAAGTTTCAAATTAAAAATGCAGCAGTTATAAAAGGAGTCTAATCGAAGCGGATAAATCAGAATTCTGAGATAACGAAAAACCACAAAATCAGTCTTGGACAAACACATTTTTAATAAATATATGTTAAAAAAGTAATGAGATGAAGAGATATCGATAGGCACATCAGATGGTCACATTTCACAGAACGCCATTCAATTCCATCTAATACAAAAATTTTGTTTTATTCTACTTTTACCAAAAATGGGTGCCAATATTCCAAAATAATGTTGAAAACCTCCCCGCAAAAAATGCAATTACATTAGGTCTCATTCCTACATGTATTTGCATGAAGGATGAATATATGTGTGCGGAAGTCACAAAAAATGACCATCGGACATAGTTCAATGTATGGTTGTTAGTTTTTATTATTACCATATTGCAATAATTGACAAAATGTATGAAAGCCGAATACTCACACACACACACACACACATACAAACCAAATGCTATTTAGGGCTAACTTTCATTTGCTTAATGTAGAAACTCCTGGTTCGGATTTAGCACAAAGAAGCATCTCTGTAAATAGCTAATGATAAAATTGGCAAGCTGTGAGTGATTTTTTGGAAAAAAAAAAAAAAAACATAAATTAGAATTTGTTGTAAATATCTGCCTTAATCACATTTTCTATGTTCAAAGAAGCTGCAATTAATATAACATCTTTCCTGGACTATGGAATAGAGGTAAGATTCCCATTGCCTTCATAAAGGCTGTTTTAAATTCCAGTTCATTAATTTCATGAATTTGTATAAATGAACTGCTTTTAAGACATTGCCGGCGTTATTGTTTTGCTTCAAAATAGTAATAACATTATTTTTTATGAAAACAAAAATTAATGGAGAGCAAATTTCAATATTTTCTAAGTTTTGAAATTGGCTGCCAACAGTTCCCTTTGCCAAAATTGTTTTCAGTTTTTTTTTTTTTAATTTTATAGAATGAAAGGAAAAAATGTCGGAAATAGCCTCAAATTTTAATATAAATTTAGATTTATTCGACTTGGAGACCTTTGGCACGAATTATGGCCTTCAAACGGCCAATGAAAGCGTCACACGCTGCCCGTATGTTGCTCTGCGGTATCTTGACCCATTCCCGGCAAAACGCTTGCTTGAGGTGATCGACACTGGAATTGAACCTAACAACATTTAAACAAACTTAAATAAAAAAATTCAAATAAACATTTATTTGTTATGATTAATTTAATATGATTAATTTGCAATTTTACCCATGGAGAGAATAAAGAAAAAACTTTCTTTTCATTTGTTTTTTTATTTTTCTTCAAAGAAAAAAAAACCCAAAAATTTAAATAAATATGGCTAAAACAAAGATATGCGCAAAATGCTTAACCTTAGAGACAAAGTCAAAGTTTAACAACAAGACATTAGTATCAAAGACTATGTGACCACGGACCCTAAACTTTGCTCAAGCATAGCTTTACAATGTTGAGCTTTTTGCCATCAAATATCAAATGCTTTAATATGTTGCTGGATACATCACAAAACTATTTTTTTTCAAAATAAGGAAATGAGTGTTCAAAAATATCCGATTACGGCTCAAATCATATAAACTTTTGTTTTCTTTCTCGCTATCATTCCCATTTCTCTGAAAAACAAACGCCCGCAAAAAATTTGTATTTATTTTTACAGCTAAGAAGAATGGAGAAGATATGCAAAACACCTTGCCTGAACCACTTTTAACCAAAATGAAATATTCAAATAAAGTCAGTGAGAAAAATCAAACAGAAAATATAGAAGAAATGAAAATAAAGCAACAAACCCAATATGTACGTATGTATGTATAACGTCGACTTCTCGCCTGTAATCCATTAAAACGTGAATCTTAAAATATCATCAAAACACAGACAGTCATAGTGTTAGCCACTTGGTGATCTAAACTATGCCATGAAAAGCAAAAACTAAAAGTTTCAACAGAAAGTTAAATACTTTCGATTTCGTTTTAAAATAACTATTTGTACTAATGATATGTTAACAATGGTCAGTATAGGGGTAAGAAATTCCCAAATTGCGTGTTTGCATTTCGATTGTACAGCACAGTCTCAAATTGGATCTTTTGAAGAAGAAATGTGAACTAAGTGCAGATCAGGTAGGATACAATTGAATCACGATGTATATTAAGGTACGACAGGCTTTAATACAACTTGAAACGCACAACTCCTTTGCATAGACAAAATGCAAATGCAATGAGGTTAACTGTGAAAGGGAGGATGATCAGAGACCAGTTGAGGGCCTCCTTTATAACTGATTTGCACCAATACAACCTGGATTTTAATATATAGGTCAACCTTTAATGTATAACCCCGCGATCATTCCCAAAGATTGTTTCTATAACTTCCACCGTTTTTAAGTGCTCGAAGTTATAGAAACAATCTTTGAGAATGATCGCGGATCAGCGTAAAACAGTCGGTTTTGCGATGTCCGTCTACTGCAATCACACAATCTTTCGAACGAATTGAGATAGACGGTTAAACTTTTGCACATGTGTGTATTTTGCCAGTATATATTCGGTCCACGATTCCGTATAGCCCCCATACAACAGTACCTACAGATATCTGAAGGTATTGTTTCAAATTTCGTATTTGGAACGTCCACGTCTTCGTATAGCACCAATATAAACTCCTCCCAATATTCGGTATTTTGATAATTTTTGCCACATTTTCCAATTGAAATGTCTGACAATCCACAAAATGAGTTTATTGTAAGTTCTTTTTCCCCTGGAAGATAATCACGATATCGTATAGCCCTCATATAAAGATACACCCCGATATTTGGTATTTTGATGATTTTAGCCACATTTTCCAATGGAAATGTCTGAAAATATACAAAAGGAAGTTATTTGTGGGTACTTTACCCCCAGACATAGATTTGTCTATATATGTGGGTCCACAATATCATATATCCCCCATATATCGGCAACTTCCGATATTCGGTATTTTTAAGATTTTAACAGAATTTTTATGGATTTTATTTTTTTTTTTAATTTCTAATTCGTTCCAAATTTTGCACAGATCATTTGTTTGGCCCAAGGACAAACCCTATTGAAATTGGAGATAATCGGTCAAAATTTAGATATAGCTCCCATATATATCTTCGTCCGATTTGCTTTTTATTGTGCACCAAACGTGTAATATCAGCCCGAATAGTATGGAAATTTGCACGTACAACCAAATTATGCCTAAAAATAAGTATGCCAAATTTGATGGAAATCGGTTCAGATATAGCTATAGCTCCCATATATATTGTTCATCCGATTTGTTATTTTTGTCCTCCGCAGCCGTAATATGCACTCTGCAACAACAATATTTGGGAAAATATATCAAATACAGCTCAGAATTACATTTGCTAAATTTTATCGAGATCGGTTCAGA